TTTCTTCTTAGTTTATTTGATTAAAAGTACTTCAGTTTTCAAGAATACACTCTAAGGGCAAGCAGTTTACATTACTGGGTTAAGGTTTAGACAGCCCCAGTCCAGGGGGCGGGAAATAAAATGCATGTACAATTCTAGCACGAGTTATTTAAAGCCAGGCTGTATTGTAAAAGATAAATTTCTTCTATTTCAGGGACTCTAGTTTAAAACTTCCCAATTTTCAAAGATAATGATGAACCTAGTAAGTAGAATAGATTTTCACTGAAAGAATTTAGAAAACTAGTTCTTTATTGTAGTTGTTCACGGGACTTTTGACCATTTTCTTTCCTTGTGGCAAAATATATTTAGCTGCATAACATTATATTGCATACTTCTTTCAGGGGCCAAGCCTCAGAGAGTTCGTACTGAGGCCAGGTTTGTGTGCAGAAGACAAGACACTTCTTTTTTAGAGTTTAGAGATTGAATTACTTCCAGTTAGTTTTCCTAGCTTTTTCTGCCTGAGCTTTTATCATTTCTTGAGAGGCCCCTGCCTGTCTGTTAAGAGAAGGGACTGTGTGACTTTTCGCTGCTAGAGTCTTAATCTGAGTCACAAGCTTGTTTTGCTTTCCTGGGGCTGCAGAAAAGAAAATGCCTAACTCCAGGACGGCTGCCTCTAAAGAAAGGAGTCAACAGAATAGAGTTATTTACATGTTGGTTTGAGGGTGTAGCTTGATTATTTTGCAGGTTCTATTTACATCGTGTTAGCTGCAGGACTATCTCCTAAGCTGCGAAAAACAGCATCTTTTAAACAAGATACCTTCTTCGGGGAACCAAGGACATACTTGTTCTATAAATTCTAAAAATTTTGTTAGTTGTTGTTGCCCTACCTTTGCGCCGCGCGTCCGCAGCATATGCTTAAGTATCTGTACAAATAGGACTCGGGTGTTTTCGGCCCCCATGATACTCTCAGAGGTTAAATGATTCGCCGCCCCTTACCTGCTTCGTGCGCACTGTTATCTCGCGGCGGCTCTCACGTTCTCCTCTGTACTTCAGGTCCCTGTTCCAGCGCCACTTGACGGTGCCTGCCGTCGAAGTCGAACAGTCTGAAGGGGAGGCGTGGAGCTGAATAAATGTACAACTCACTCTGAGAGGACGCCCAGTCAAGCCGGAACGCAACATACAGCCTTTATTCTCCTCTTTTTACACACACTCAGAAGGGGCAGGTTAACCAGGGATCAAGAAACATGTGCTTGGGTGTTGACATACTTTTTTACAAAACAAGCAGACTCTGTCCTCAGGATAGATTCTATCTCAGCACACCCAGACTCAACATCTAGGACTTGTTATTATTCTTAGCAAACTCCCTTATCCCTGACCGTTCTTTCACCCCAATCTTTCAGCTGTCCTCTCCCAGTTCCCTTCAGGTTTCAGCCGTCCCCAACAATATCGATTTGTCTTCCTTAGAATTTCATATAATAAAACCACACAGTCTGTACTCCTTTGTGTCTGGCTTCCTTCATCCAGCATGATATTTTAAAAATTGATCCATGTTGTTATGTTATCAGAAAGTCATCTTGGTTTTGCTAAGTAGTATACTATTATATGAACTTCTACAGTTTGTTTATCCATTCATATACTCATGAAAATTTGGATTGTATGCAGTTTATGTCTACGATAAGCTGCTCTGAACAATTGTATACAATTCTTTGTGTAGACATATGTTTTTATTTCTCTTGAGTAACTGTCTAGATCTAGAATTGCTAGGTCATAATGATAAGTACATGTTTATTTACCTTGATAAGAAAATCCTCAAGAGTTTTCCAGTGTGGTTGTACCATTTTACCTTCCCCACCTGCAATATATGACAGTTCCAATTGCTCCACATACTTACCAACATTTGGGGTTGTCAGTCTTTCAATTCTAGCCATTCAAGTCAATGAGTAGTGATATCTCATTGTGAATTTAATTTGCATTCTTTGATGACTAATGATATTGACATTGATTCATGTGCTTACTCACCATCTATATATGCTCCTTTATGAAATATCTGTTCAAATCTTTGGCTTATATTACATTGGGCTCTTTGTCTTCTTATTATGAGTTGTAAGAGTTTTCTATGTATTTAGAACACATAAAGAGCTCATGTATTTTATGTTTGTATTGGATATTTTCACTCAATCTGTGGTTTCTGTTTTCAGTTTCTTAATGATGTCTTTCAAAGAATGACTGGCAAAATCTAATGATCAATGATTTTTATGGTTTGTGCTTTCAGTATTTATAAAAAAAAAACTTAGCTTATCCCAAGGTTATCAAGACTTTTACCTGATATTCTTCTAGAAAATTTGTAGTTTTAGCATTTATGGTTAGGGGAATTATCCATTTCAAGTTAGTTTTTGTGTATGGTATGAGGTAAAGGTCAAAATACATTTTTTTCCTTATAGATATCTCATAATGTCAGCACAGTTTGTTTAAAAGATAACATTTTCCCTATTGTTTTTTACTGGCTACTAGGTCTGTTTCTATTGACTGGTTTTTCTACTAATTATAGGTCTCAGTTTCCTGAGTTTTAGTATCTCATGATTTTTTCATCTCCTGAGTATCGTGAAGTTTATACTGTCGAGAATCTTTCCTTTGTTGTCTTCCTTTAAGGAGTCTGGGCTGTGCCCTGACAGACCATGAAGTTGCTTGCCGTTCAGTTCGATCCTTTCAAGTGTTGTTTTTAAGCTTTGTTAAGGTCTAGAGTATCCTTCACTATTAGGTCTAGTTTAGCTCCACTACAAAGGTGTGGCCCTTCTTGGTCTCTACTGTGTGACAAGTGAGAACCCTTTCCTGTGACCCAGGGTGCATTCTGTGGACTGTTCAGCTCATGGGTACCAGTTGCTCTCTTGCATAAACTTACAGAATTGCATCCTGTGTCTGAGCAGATTGTCATTTTGCTAAAGAATCCAGGGTACTCATGGTCAGATTTCTGAAGCTCTTTTCTGTGACGTTTTTCCCTCTCTGGAACTCTTTTCCACAGCTCCAGCCACTTCAGACACCGTGAACTCCTCTGCCTTTGCAACTCATTGAGGCGACTGCCATTCTGTTTGCCAATCCAAATGTGTCCTTTTTCTCAGTCATCATAATCCTGTGCTGCCTTTTATCCAATGTCTGAAAATAGTTGTTTCATACATTTTCCCCTGTTTTCTCTTGTTTCCAGCAGGAGGTTAAATCTGTCCCATGTTTCTCCATTATGGCCAGAAGTGCAAGTCCTGACAAGGTAACTTTTCAACTAGAAAAAAATAACTCAGGGTAGAGTATAAGATGCAGTTCTTGCACCAATGCCAATAGACTCAAGGTACCTTCCATTAAGTCAGAAAGCAGAGGGAGATATAAGGTTGATCAATTTTGCCATGTAGTAGTGTGGGAAACCGTGCCTCTTTAGAGAATGAAGGGTGTGGCTACTGGCAAATAGAGAGTCTAGAATCAAATAGATAAGAATCCTATTAAATTTTTGAGAGATTACTGATAAAAGGACCAGGATCCCATGACTATTTCAGACCTAAAATGGCTCTTGGTCACTCATTGGCCCACACATAGAATAATCTGGTTAATTTACAAAGCCCCCACTAACAACATATATCACAAAGCCCATTTCAGATTTGACCAAGCAGAATAATAGAAAAGGAAGACCCTCCAAGAGGATAGAGCTAAGAGCTATGGAGAACAGTGAGCAAGGGATCTCTTCCCAAAAGTATTTTCAGGGCCTAATTAAGGAGCGGTCCTCACTTCCAGAGTATATGACCCTCACCACATCTGCCAGTGGGATCACAGAAACCGTATGAACCAGTGACTCCTGTGTGCCTCCCATTTTTTTTTTTTAATCACAAACGGGGTTGTTTACTGCTGTTATCTTTGTCCTACCATTATATATCAGGCATCAGGGTGAGGGGAGATAAACTGTGTTTTTATTTCAGAGTTCTTTGGATCAGTGGTGACCACACTGAATCTGATAACCACACTCATTATCTTTTGATGTGTAGAATTCTTTGCAACATGCAGAAGTCCTGAACTTTGATCTTACTGCCATAATTAAATGAAAATTTGAGATTATCTCCTTGCTGAGGGTCACATGTGTAACATGGGTGTTAAGAAAAACAAACTGAAAATTTGGTGGTCAGATTTATGGTCTGCAGGAAATACTACCAATTTGTGCCAATATTCTGTTCTCCCTTATTTCTGGGTACCTAGAGGATTGCTCTTTTCCTTCCCACTGAAATCAGGATGGCTATCTGAAATGAGTGGGAGTGACATATGTTGCTTCCAGGCAGAAGTAGTTAATTGCCAAATACAAGAATTTCTAGCACTGTCTTCCTCTATTCAGTTGGACCCTAAATAATCCCAGTTGAAATGGCAGCATAATAGATGATGTTGCCTCCATCAGACTATGATGAACAGGTGCCCTTTGCCAACCAACTTTGGATTTCCAACTTAAGTGAGAAAATCAAATTTGTTGTTTTAAATCACTAAGAATCATTTGAGATAAGTGTTGTAACTTATCTCAATACAGTCATTTTTTTATTAAATGATTTTATAAAATAAGATTATTTGGAAACTGTAATACGAGCTCTAGAAAACACACCTCTACTCAGTGCAATAGTTAATACTTGCTCATCACCTGCCTCCCATGATGGACTATGAACCTCATGAGGGTAGGAGTTCTCCACCTTGTTTACTGCCATATCTCCCTAGTACCTAACACAGTACCTGAGATATGGTAAGTCCTCAATACTCATTTTAAAAATGAGTAAGTGTATGCCCGAGCATAACAAATTAATATTGTTATATTCCATTTCATAATCTCAGAACAGTAACTTGATTCTGTTCCCATAAACCTCAAAGTAATAAAGATTATTGCTACTTTTGAAAATCAAAATAGTCCATATCTTGAAAAGAGAAAACACTTATTATACCAGTATTTTTCATTTTAAATATGGGACCAATTCTGCAAATGAATACTAAACTTGCCACACACACACAAATTAATTCTCTTCCTCAAAAATGAACAGTGAGATAAAACAAAATTTTTCACTTTATCAAAAGAGACACTCTTTCCTATCAAGTATGAAATATATAGCATAGAATAAATGACATTTTGCAGAATATCAAATGCTAATACCTGTAAAAAATGTACTTTATAGAAAGCAGTGAATTCTTTTGAATGTAGTAAGGTAGCAGTAAAACTAACATACTATACTAACATAGGAAATGAAATTCATTTATAGTCTACTAGTCTTTGCTAATTGACATGGGTAGTGAGATAGTAGGTATTTAATTTATACTTACAGAAATTGCTTTGACAAGGTTAAATTTTATTAGCTTGTTAGTCAACTTGTATTTTGATAATTAAATTCAAGTGTTGAAACTCTCCCTAGATGGGTTATGCCACAGTATCATAGTAAACCAAGCAGATTTTGAAGCCATACTTTGTACAATACAATAATTTACAAGAAAATTTAAGAACATTTATTACATTTTTTCTTAGATTTTAGTTTAAAAAATTATTGTAATTTTTTTAAACACTCTGACTAAAGAAATAAAGAGCACAGGGTTTTAAATGAAGATGAATAAAACCCTTCTCCAGCACATGTAAATGCGTACCCATAGTGATAGACAGTAATATAATAACAGAATTTCTTATAAGCATCTTAATCCAACATTTACTAGTTTTATTTTTTTAATAGTAACATTCTTTCAATTTTCTGCATAATAGTTCAAACTTTGGGGCTCTTTACAGTGAGATAAAAGTCAGAGATCCATGGTATTTTTCTCATTTTCCTACGACCTTAACTACTAGGGTCAAAAATAATTCTTTTAGGGGCGCTCTTGTCCTCTCCTGGTGTGAGCCAGGGGCTCTGTTCTCTCGCTGTATCTCTAAATAAAAGCCTCTCCCTTGCTCTCCAAAAAAAAAATAATAATAATAATAATTCTTTTACTTTTGTAATTGATCTACAGCTGGATGCAACCTTCACTCTGTCTAAAGCAGAACAGGTTAGTGTCTGCCCAGAGAAGTCAATACTAAGGAGAGTTGATTTCCCTACAGCAATGTCTAAAGACAGAGTAACAGCCTTAAAATGTCAAGAGAAAGTAGCCATCAAACTAGAATTGAATACTCATTATCTTTCAAGAATGAAGACAAAGACATTTCCATTACCTGCAGCCTGTAAAAGATGCCCCAGGGCAAAGAAATAATGATCCCAGGAGGAAAATCAGACAGGAACATGAGACAGAATGGATAAAATGGTAAATATCAAGGTCCACGTGGGAAGGATTTTATAAAATATTTCCAGGGAGATGTATGTGTTTTCCAAATCCCAGGAAAATAAATTAAGAAATTGAGGAAATTGGGAAAAGTATAATTCTGCTGCAAAGTTTAGAGTTTAATCAATACAGAGATGTTACCGATTCAAAGGAATCCACCAATGTCAAGTAAAAAAAAGCAAGGTCAGGAAACCCTAGCTAGTGGCTGGAATATAAAGGAGAGAAGTCGCCACTGTCTAATCAGTTTTGCTTCAACTCACCCTGTGTTGCAAGTGAGCCTTTGTGGCCCTGTCTGCTGCCAACACTGAGTCATTCTTGCAAATAAAGTTAAAATTAAGAAATGTGTATGCATAATATACTCAATGCAAATCCTTCGAGTGGTATTCTAAAAAGTAACAAGTTTTGGTAGCAAAAGAAGACCTTAAATTGGCAAGGCTGACATGTGATTTTGTAAAGAACTGTTCATCTTGCCAGGATATTGGAATGTTATATTATTTCTTTAATGCTACCAAAATGGTTGCTGGTTTTTCCACTGTTTGAATATTCACCATTAGGGGAAATGCAAAGCAAAAATGTGAATGTTGAATATTTCTGTGGAATATCCTTTTATAAAATCAGAAACTGATCTAAAAATCCAAATTAGTGAAACAATATATCACAATGGCAAAGCAAAAGCCAAGGCAAGTAGACAAAATGTTTTTATCACAATAGAAATCATTAAAAGGACATGATCTTATATGAAGGACATAAACTCTAATCTCATCTTAAACAGACTTTTGGATGTACTTTGAGCACTTTGACCAATGTCAATACAAAATTAAGAAATTTTTCTATGATGATATATTTGTACATCATGTGAACCATAAGGAATTGCTGGTTGTGTGTGTATGTATGTTTTGGAGGGGGCAAACAATGCAAAAACTATGGGCTCTAGTTGTAGCTACAGCTATGGTGGTGCTCAAGGAGAAAGGTATACTCATAATTGCTTATATTACAAGAAAAATGTCAGAAGTTAGAAAAAGAAAAAAATCCAAATGAAGTAGAAAGAATGAAGTAAAAAAATGAGATGAGAAAAAATATATAAACATATAATAGAGGAAAATCAGCAAAATCAAAGTTGGTGCTTTGAAAAGCCTAGTTTAAAAGAACTGTAAAGACACAAACAAAATCAGAAACAAAAAAAGAATAGTTACAACTGACACCACAGAAACACAAAGAATTATTAGAGAATTCTATGAAAAATTATATGCCAATAAATGAAACAACTTAGAAGAAATATATTCCTAGAAAAGTACAGTCTTCTAAGATTGATCCAGGAAGAAAAAGAAAACCTGAACAGACCAATTACCAGTAATAGTATTGAACTGGTAATTTAAAAATTCCCAATAAACAAAAGTTCAGGCACAAATGCATTCACAGCTGAATTCTATCAAACATTTAATACCCACCCTTCTTAAAGTACTCCATAAAGTAGAAGAGGAGGGAGTATTTCCAAACTCATGCTATGAGGCCAGCATCACTCTAATACCAAAATCAGAGAAAGACAATACAAAAAAAGAAAATTTTGACCAACATCACAGATGAACATATGCAAAAATCCTCAACAAAATATTAGCAAACTGAATTAAAATATACATCAAAAGGATCATCCATCATGACCAAGTAGGATTTATTTCAGGGATGCAAGGATGGTATAATATTTGTAAAGCAATCAATGTGATAGACCACATTAACAAAAAGGATAAAAACATATGATCATCTCAATAAAGCATTTGACAAAATTCCACATTCCATTAATGATAAAAAAAAAATCAATAAAATTGGTAGTGGGGGAACGTACCTCAACATAAGAAAGGCTATATACAACAAACCCACAGCTGATATACTCAATGGCAAAAAGCTAAAACCTTTTCCTCTAAGATCAGAAACAAGAATGACAATGATGTCCACTCTCACCACTTTTATTCAACATACTGCTTCAGGCCCTAGCCATTGCAATCAGACAAGACAAAGAGAAAAAAGGCATCCAAATTAGTAAAGAAGAAGTTAAACTGTCACCATTTGCAGATGGCATGATATTATCCATAGAAAACCCTGAAGACTCCACCAAAAAAAAAAACATTAAAACTAATAACTGGCTTCAACAAATTTGCAGGATACAAAATTAATACACAGAAATCTGTTGAATTCCTATATGTTAACAATGAACTGATAGAAAGAGAAATCAGAAAAACAATTCCATTTACAATTGCATCAAAATGAATAAAATACCTAGGAATAAACCTAGGTATTAGGTTTTGCAACAATGAGGTGAAAGATCTATACTCTGAAAACTGTAAGACACTCTAGTGAAAAATTAAGTAAGACACAAATAAATGGAAAACTATCTCGTGCTCATGGATGGAAGAGTTAATATTGTCACAATAGCCAAGCTGTCCAAAGCAATTTACAGATTCAATGCATTCCCTATCAAAATACCAATAATATTTTTCAATTACCTAGAGCAAATAATCCTAAAATTCTTATGGAACTACAAAAGACCCTGAACAGCCAAAGCAATCCTGAGAAAAAGCTGGGGTGATTATGCTCCCTGATTTCAAGCTCTATTACAAAGCTACAGCAATCAAAACAATAAGGTACTTGCCAAGAACAGACCCAAAGATCAATGGAAAAGAATAGAGAGCCCAGATACATGGCCCATTAATATACAACAAAGGAGGCTAGAACATTATATGGGGAAAAGACAACAGTCTCTTCCATAACTGGTGTTGGGCAAACTAGACAGCTACAAGCAAAAGAATGAAACTGGATTATGGTTTAACTCCATATACAAAAATAAACTTGAGATGGATTAAAGACCTAAATGTAAGACCTGAACCATAAAACTCTTATAAGAAAACATAGGCAAAGATCCCTTGAACACAAGTATGAGCAATTATTTTTCTGGACACCTCTCCCTGGGCAAGGGAAACAAAATAAAAAATGAACAAGTGGGACTACATCAAACTAAAAAACTTTTGTACAGAAGAGGATACCATCAACAGAACAACAGTATGGAGGTTCCTCAAAAAATTAAAAATAGAAATACCATATGCTCCTGCAATTCCACTTCTGGGCATATATCCAAAGGAAATAAAAACATAACTCAAAAAGGTATCTGCACCCCTATGTTAATAGCAGCATTATTTACAATAGCCAAGACATGAAAACAGCTTAAGTGTCCACCAATGGATGAAGGATACAGAAGTTGTGGTATATACAGTTGACCCTTGAACAGCATGGGTTTGAACTGCATGGGTCAACTTAAACATGGATTGATTTTTTTTCAATAAATACAGTACAGTACTGTAAATGTATTTTTCTTATGATTTTCTTAATAACATTTTTCTCTAGCATACTTTACTATAAGAATACAGTATATAATACATATGCAAAATATGTAGTAATCGACTATTTATATCATCAGTAAGGCTTCCAGGCAGCAGCAGGCTATTTGTAGTTAAATTTTGAAGGGATCAAAATTATATGCAGATTTTTGACTACAGAAGGGATCAGTGCCCCAACCCCTGTGTTGTTCAAAAGTCAACTGTATATATAATGGAATATTATTCAGCCATAAAAAATGAGGAAATCTTAGCATTTGTGACAACATGGATAGACTTTGAAGACATTATGCTATGTGAAATAGGTCAAAGAAAAACAAATACTGTGTGATCTCACTTGCAGGTGAAATCTAAAACAAAAATAAAAGGCAAACTCATAGACAAAGTGATCAGACTTGTAGTTACCAGCGGCAGAGAGTAGGGAGAGGAGAAACTGGAGAGAGATGGTTAAAAGGTACAAACTTTCAGTTATAAAGTAAACAATGTAATGTACTATATAGCCAACTCTGCTGTATAATACATAGGAAAGTTAAGAGAGAAAATAGTAAGAGTTCTCATCACAAGAGAAATTCTTTTTTCTCTTTTCTTCTTTCCATTATATACATATGAGCTGATGAATGTTAGCTGAATCTACTGTGGTGATCATTTCAGTGTGTGTAAATCAAAACATCCTGCTGTATACCTTACACTTATACAATGATGTATGTCAATTGTTTCTCAATAAGACTGATGAGGGAGAACCTTAAAATTTAAAACAAAACCCATTTATTACCTCAAAATTGAATATGTCAGAAATTTAGGCAAGCTTAGCTAGAATCTCTGCTTAAGGTTTCACCAGGCTGAAATCAAGGTGTTGACCAAAATGAGTTCTTACCTGGAAATTCTGGGTAAAAAGCTACTTCTTGACTCATTGACAGGGACAGCAGAATTTAGTTCCTGGTCGGTCGTTGTAGAATAGAGCTCCTTATTTTTTTGCTGGCTGTCAGTGAGGGGCAGTTCTCAGCTCCCAAAGGCTGTGCACATTCCTCAGCATGTGGCCCCGTTCATCTTCACCAATCTCCAACTTCATCTTCTGTTACCAGTCAGAGAAATCTCAGCTTCTGAAGACTCGCTGTTTGAGCCAGACCCAAGCGGGTAATCTCCATATCTTAAGTCAACTAACTTGAGTCTTTAATTACATCTGCAAAATCCCTTCACATCAATATGTAGTTTAGAGTTTGCTAATGGGGGAAGAATGTTGGGGACCCATCTTTACAATTCTTCTTATAGTATCCTCACAGATGAATGATAAATGATACATTGACTGGAAATTAAGTTTTTGGGTCATTGGTTCTTCACTCTCAATGATCCACACAATGTATCCCCATTGTCTTCTAGTTTCTATCTAGCATCTAGTGATAAACTACTTGGATATATTGTCATATATAAATTATGTATGTTATAATAGAATGCATATAATTGTCAAATCATTATGTTATACACCCAAAACCAATATAATATTGTTTATCAACTATACATCAATTTTAAAAGGTAAAAAACATATAATATATAAATCAGTAGTACCTTTTTCCCTGCTGGAATCTATTGAGAATTTTCTTGATCCTTAGAATTCAGCATACCCAGTACAATTCTCCTGGAGCTGCCTTCCAAACCTCTTACAATTTCCTGCAAGACATCTATCTCGGTAGTTTAGCTCTCTATTGTGAGATAATTCTTTCAAAGTACTAATTCTGTGCTCAGGAGAAATCATCCTCTTTTCAATTTCAAATGCAGAAAGGTTGGTACCTTGTTCCCTAAACACTGTTAATGCTCCAGTTGTACCTCCTTGAGAGTTCCCACCAGTTTATATTTAAATTCCCTTCCATTAGTTCTAGTTCATTTGAAGCCATCTGTTCGGATCAGTCAGGCCCTGCTCTTCCAGGTTACAAAGTCCCCCTCTTGGACAGGTTGTAAGTTTTCTTCACCTACTCACGGCCCTGTCTTGTGCAGGCCCAGCTGTCGGGGTGTCCCCACCGCAGCAAACATGCAGGCGTGGCATGCTCCACACTTGTAAACCAGGCATGGAAAATGGAAACCTCTTACCTTCCTTTAGAGGTACTGGGGTACTGTCTCAATTCTCTGCATCTCACAGAGAGCAGTTCACTCTAAGCCACAGAGAAGGGGAACAGTGTTGCCCATTAAGACAGCCTGTCCCCACGTCCCAGCAGGGTCAGAAGAATCAGAAGGCTCTTTCAAGGACCTCTTTGAGGTAGCTCCTCCCAGTGAGAAGCAATGGGATGTTTCTGCCTACAGAGCCCTGGAGCATTGTCAGCCCTCTCATCTTCTCTCAAGTAGAGTCAAGTCTGAAAGGAGTTTCCAGAAAAAAAACTGTATCAGTATCTAGAGCAGGTTTGATGTCTTAGCTTAAATTAGAGCAGTTAGGTGGAAGTATTTTAATAAATATATTACAGCTTTTTAAATCAATATAATAAATATGTTAACTGATAAAAAAACAGAGAAAACATTCTATCAAGATCCCAAGCAAGATTTCTGGGAAGATGGCAGCTGGGTGCCTAAGCCTGGAACCTTCCCATTCTGACTTTGTGCTGAGCATTTAGGAAAGAGACCTTGGATGGGGCTTCATTCTTCTTGGCTCTGGGAGGAAGCAAAGATCAGCAGTAGAGGCAAAAGTTTGCCTCTCCGATAATTTCAGGGTGCAAATCACAAGTTTTAAGATTCCCTCGGGGAGAAAAAAAAACAGATGTCAGTAGACAGCTGTGGAAAGAGCAGCATCTGAAGACTGTCTTTGCTGCAGGCCTCAAGGAGAAGCAAGCTTTCTCTCTAGTTCTGACCCCTTGTTCTGGCTGAGAGTGACAGAGGGCTGAGCCCTCACACCCACCCTATACTACAAAATAGCATGTACAGGTGTATGGGTGTGCATACAAACACACACATACACAGAAAAGAGCAGCAAATTTTATCAGATATGGACAATATATTGACAGAATTATCTTTTAGTGTTGGAGTTATGTCATTACTTTCTGTCAAATTTTTATATCATCTAAAACATTTTGAGCATATATTCATTTTATAATAAAAAGCAACATTTTGTAAAATACTCTGGCTGCTACTGATATGATTTCTCATGAATTGTGTGGAATAATCTGAGGCTCCTGAGAGCACTTGTTTTTTGTGGGATTGCTATTCTAGTTGGCTATGCGAGTTTCACTGAGCTGATCATTTTGGTGGCAAATCAGAAGATCAAGGAATTTGGAAATACTAAAGATCAAAATATTTGGAAATATATAGATAGCTGCCTTATTGTTGTTAAAATATCTAGAGTTTGGTGAATATAGCCTTTCTTGATTTACAGATCTTATTACTTGGATTCAAAATACTTAATTCACTGGAAAATTGTCTAGTTTACTGCTATACATAAAAGCAAAAACTAACAAACACAAATATAGCCTGATATATCAATATTTTGTGCTCTCTTATCCACCCACTTACCAAATCAGGTGCACAGCCATCTGCAGATTCACCCAACTATCCATTCATCCATCCACCCATCCATCCATTCTCCCACTCACACCTATCCATCCATCCATCCATCCATGCATCCATATCATCACCCACCCATTCAGCCAGCTAGCCAGCCAGTCAGCCCCTCACCCATCCATCATCCATTCATCCATCATCTGTCTTTCCACTCACCTATCATCTCTACAAAGACATTGAATGCAAGGTACTGTTGATACACCCAGTGAGGGAAATATCCAGACAATGCCCTAAAAATAAAATAAATGTGTAATAGATTGATTCTCAGTCATAACAGATTAATAATAAGAGTAATAAAGCATGAGATATTAATTAAGAGGAAGGAAATAGTATGGAATCTGATCTGTATAAGCAGTCCTTATGGAAAATGGGTATCAGCTGCATTGATAAAGAAACAAAAACACAATATTTTAGAAAGTGAGAGCAAAATTATTCAAGAAATGTAAAACAAGCAAGACACTACAGCCAAGGTGCCTACCCTGCACAGGTGACACCTGGTGAGAACACCACTTGCATCTGCTCTGCAGGCCACCAGGGAATGACGCCTTCCCAGAGTTAGTCTTTTTATGTTGCCCCAAACTCACAATAATGGCACCTTCCTGAGCAAGAAATTAACGAGGGGGATGGTTTAGAGTTGATTTACCCTTTGAGGTGCTACCAGACTCATCTCCTCTAGTCTCTGTTCATTATGTATTCATGAGCCAAGCTGGCTGTCTTTCATTCTTTATTGTATTCAGAGAAGGAAAAAACCCACATAAAACCATTTTCCTTGCTGAATGGGTGAAATAATTTAAAAGCCAATATGTTAGGCTGGCAGCTTGTCTAACAACCATGAGACTCTCTGCAGAACAATAATTAAAGCAGCTCTTTCTTTATTATATAAATTATTCATTCATTTTTAACACCAGGTGAATGTTTATGTTTATATGGAATGAGTACTGAAGACAATTCTGCCATTCCGAAAGTCGCCTCCCATTAACCTGTCACATTTTCATCATGAAAAGAAGTTACCGTGCAGCTGGTTTCCTGTAGGAATGAATACCGTCAACGTACATGAACATACGGTCATACAGTAAGATGAATGCTGTATTTACACTGACTAACTGACACTGCAGTTGCATGCATCTACTCAGTGGGGACAAAGTATCTGCAGAGGCAAGAAGGTATTTTATGGATATCTCCTCCCATCCATCCTGAAAACGTGGGATTCAATGGCTCTGTCTCCCCGAACTGCAATTCATGGAGATGAGATGAGGAGATGGAGATTTCTTAATACTAAGTATAAGCAGTGGGTTAAGACTCCAAAAATTCCTGGTCACACGCGGTCCCACCACTGATGCTTTCCCATCCATCACCCTCCTCCAGCGCTCACTCCCTACCTCCCTTACTGTTGCTACAATCATGTGTAATAGATTTTCCATATCCCCAATTCCCCTGCCTCTATCCCACTGTAAAACTCAACTGACCAAACTCTGCCAGGGGAAGTCCAACTCTCCATCAACACTTGTTATGCTCACTCTTTAAAAGTTTAGCCATTGTTATTTGAGGATCGTAGTATTTCACTGTGATTTTAATTCGCATGTCTCTGATGAATAATGATATGGAACACTTTCCCAAATGTCTTCAGCCATTCAGATGTCATTATTTTTATTGATGTATAGTTGATGTACAACATATTGGTTTCAGGTGTACAAAATAGTGATTCAACAATGATCTACATTACTAAATGCTCACTGTGATAAATGTAGGTAGCATCTGTCATCATACAAAGATATTACAATATTATTGACTACATTTCTTATGCTGTACATTTCATCCTGGTGACTTATTTATTTGATAATTGGAATTTTTGTACCTCTTAACCCACTTAGCTATTCTGCCCTGTTCCCCCACCCCCACCCCTAGGTAACCACCATTTAGATACCATTTTATGTCAAGTGCCAGTTCAAGTTCAGTTCTACGCCATTTTTTCATTAGGTCATTTGCCTTTTATCTTTTTTCTCTTCTGCATTTTCAAGGTTTCCCTCTCTACTAGATCCTTCCCATCAGCATACAGATTATGCTGTATTATCATCCACTCTATCTATCTGGTACCAGCAGGAAACTGATGGCACCAAATTAGGATAATTTGAGGAAGATTCATAAAAGGACCATGTACAAAGGCAGAGGTATGGTGCAGAGAAAACACAAAAAATGTGGCGTACCATGGGGTTTGTTACAGTGGCATTATTACCAAGCCTAGGTCCCCAGTGAAGGAAGAGATTACTAGCACTCAAAAAGCATCTGTCATGCAGAATGACTATTGAGAGAAATCTTTAAGGGAACCAGCCAGCCTGGGGCTCTCTCTTTCAGTGACAGAGCTAAGGTAAGGAATATCACGGAATTACTTTCCTCTCTTCCTCCAATCCCCAACTGGGGCTCCGCTTTGGCCAAACTCCTCTCGAAGTCAAAAGTCAAAATGGTTTGTTTACATAATCCATATAGGTCAGCATCCTGTGGCATAGAGAAAGGTGGAGAAGGATGGAAATAGCTCTGAAACGGCAAAAGGCAGGTAGACAGCAGAGTCCATGCCTTCCTTGGCCCATTCTTATTCTTCAAATGGATGAAAAAGCTTCTGCCCCCAACAAAAGAGATACGTATATCCTTCACCTCCCACATTAGCTCAAAGTGATGTTAATTTGGTTATACTTACATCTGAAAACCAAAATATTAGTGTTGTCAGCATCAGTGTGTAAGAAAAGAGAGCGGGGGCAGGGGGAAATTAAGTAATTACAGTCCCTGCCTCTGCAGCTAGTGTAATACCTAGTAGGTAACCATGGCTGCCTCTTTCTGTCGCCCATTCCATGTTTCCCTCAATTTGTGGCAGCACCACAGCTGGATTCAGCTCTGTAAAGAGAGAAGTGAGCAAAAAATTCATTCCTGTAAAATCTGTATAATTAATGGCCATATCATTATTGCACTGCCGAAGTTTTTCACTCTCCTGTACTACTGGGCAAGGGAATATTAAGAGGCACTCTCCTCGTTCTCTTGGGTTGCAAACACCATCTTTTTTGTCCTGATTCTATAGCAGAAACACAGTTTCCCCTTGGAAATTAAGATCAGTTAACCCCAGCCCATAGAGACCCATTACTCCAGCATGAAAAGCCCAAAATGGCTGTGGGATAGTCTCATTTTTCAGTTCTTCAGAATTATGACTTGTGAAAGCACCCATCCTTTGGGCACTAGGACCTCCAAACTCACCAGTTATGGAGACTGGAAACAAAAACAATTCAACTGAGTTTTTAGGGATAGTAGTGGGAGGGGCGACTCCCACCTCCCTCCCGTGCCTTGCTGCATTCTGTGTATGGGGAAAGTTCCGCGCACTGGCTGCCAGGTTAAGTTAAGAATCCCGTCCTGCAGGACAGCACCTCAATCCTCACAGATAGGCTATCCAGCTGGCACCATCAGTGAGTTTTCACTAGGCACTCCACTATTCTATTTAAGTCAGCTGCTATGGGGTGGTGGGGTGAAACCAGTGCATTTCATGATCATGAGCGCTTTGCCTCACTGCCATTGCCATAAAATATGTTCCCCAGCTGAAGGTGATATTGCGTGGGATACCTTGGTAATGAATAAAGCCGGCATTCTATCAGTCCACAAATGGTAATGCAATCAGAAACCTTATAGGAAGAGAAGGAAAACCCCTTGTGAAATACGTATCTTCCCTGTAAGGACAAAGGGATGTACTCTGCATTATGGAAAAAGTAAGACAGAATTAATCTGCCACCAGGTAGCCAGCTTGACTCTGAGTAAACGGTACCACAAGGGTCTCAGCATCAGCCTCTGGTTTTAGAAGGTTGGGCCTTCGGCACGGCAGTAGCCAGATAAGCCTAGGTGAGGAAAAGACTGTGTTTTGGCCCTGTGAGTAGCTTCCACCCCAGCTGCCATGGCCACATGGATTCATCAAATAGGCTCCAAGGTGCCTGGGAACAGAAGCTGACATCCAGAGAATGAGTCACCTTGCCTACCTGACTATAGTGGGTCTCCTCCAAAGTAGTGGCCCACTGGCGTACATTCACCTGGGACATGAGTAGCTTCGTATTCTTTGCCATTCTGAGAGGAACAGCCATATTTCTTTTCCCCAGAAAGCTTTCTCAGTTATTTCCCAATTTGCTCCTAATCTCTGAGTAGCCGGTCGAAAGGTTCACTCCCGTCCATGAGTCCATGTAAATTGCACACTAGGCCTTCTCTCCTTTAATGCTAAGTGGACAATAAATGCACCACCCTAAATTCTGCCCATAGGGAGAATTTCCTTTCACACTGCCTACCCCCAGCATACCTAGTGAGTGTAGCATAGTAGCTATTTTTTCCTAGCAAATGGGGCAGATATTCCTGCCATCAGACCCACGTTTTCCCCTCTTCCTTTAACCCACCAGAGGAACCAGTCACAAAGTCGTAGCTACGGATGGAGGGAGGGGCAGTGAAGCATGAGGAGCAGGTTCCAGGGGAGCCTGAGCTACCTAATCATGCAGTTTACTTTTACCTTTGGTCTTGCTCAGTCCCAGTCCCTATATGGAACTTCCATTTTATAATAGAACGTTGCTGTGTCCACATCCAATACTATGGTTCAGTGGATCAGATAACATTAGTTCACGGTTGGCAGTTAAGGTCACATCCTCACTTGGTGACCCACAGCCATTCACTTGGTCTTAATCAAGATCCACTAAAAAGCCAGGAGCTGTATTTTAAGTACACAATAGTTGTTGGCAAGGATGACAAAGTCTATACTCCAGAACCTTCTATCCTCCTACTTTGTGCAATATATTTTTTTTAAACTCACTTTATTTGTTTATGCTTAAGTATTTTAAAGTAATTAATGACATCTTGATATCACACCCATAAATATCTTAAGATGTATCTCTAAAATTAAAAATATTTCATATTTAGACAACCTAGCATCATTGTATTTGATGAAATTGGGATATCATTTAATACTCAGTCCATGTTTAAATTCATTTAAATGTACCAAAATGTCCCTTTCACTTACCTTGGTGCATGTGAAACTTTTCTCTTGATTTGATACTTTTTAAATAAAAATTTGGGGAAAAAATGCAAAATCAGGCAAAATTAAATTAGACTGCCTAAAATTTCACACATAAGTAGCAAAATGTGAAAGAAAAGTAAGTATGTGTAAAATAGTGGTTAAGTTTGGAGAGAGGGCTCTGATTATAATCAATTAGGTGCAAACAAGGAGCCTTGGGGTTAGGATGCTGGCAGTATACATTTCTTGACCTGGGTGATGGTTGTATGAGAATTTCCTTTATGAGTATCCATTAAATTATGGCCCTATGTTTATGCATTTGAAAACAAATATGTAACAATATGCAAATAATATATTTAAATACTTTGGGAAAGTAAACTGATATGTAATTGTTAAGCATTATTATATTAAATAAAAAGAATACAGCTTTCACAGAGTTCTTTTGATGTACAGTGGCCAAATCTAAATAAAGGTAGTTTTTGCAATATGAACAGTTTATTCAAGTTCAGTCTACTAAAAGGCACTACTGAGGATCTATTTTTGACAATCACATTATAATAATGACATCTTACTTATATCATAACTTATGACCATAAATTCTAAATCTTTTTCTGTCTGGTATTCTAAATAATTCCCATGCATTATAATATTATTATCCCCACAATTTGTTTTTACAAATGTTCTAACAAATACTATTTGAAAAGAAGGGGGTTTTACGGTTATAAAACACTATGTTAAAGAAACTAAAAATGTCCTTTTATTGTTAAAGAACAATGCCTGTATTAATCTCTTGTTGAAGAGAACATCCTCTAGGCTCTCCCAGGGAGTATAGTTAGAGAGTGGCTTAGTAGGCTACAAATAATAGATAATTCCAACATTTCCCATTTCCCTGAGTCTTTAGAATCGCACCACTATCGTATTCCAGGGAAATTACAGTTTTTCAGCTTCTTAAAATATAAGCCATCTTTGAGTTTATGCCTCAATTAGCCAACCCTGCAGATGACAAATACCACCTCCAGCTGATTGAGCCACCACATCAACTCCTGGATTCCTTGGTGGTGCACACCATAGCAATATACGGGGCCCGTTTGAGCCTTAAATTTCATCCACCTTGTTTAGATACCTTTAGAATTTACTCCAACATGCTCTCATGCACCTGTTGATAAAAACTTCTAAGGTCTTACCTGTTTTTTGTCTATAGGTTATCTCTACTTTGAGCAGCCCTTCTGTTTAAGCCTCCTAGCTCTGCTGGTTTCTAAATCTTTTAACTGCCCTGGAGGCAATAAGAGGTGGTGGGATGAGCGCTGAAGAGAACTGGCATCAGCGGCGGAGGCTACTGCCTCAAGTGTAGTCGCTGAAAGGCTTCTGTGGAAATCCTCCAATAAGCCAAGGGAATTCAGAGGAAGTTCAATACTTTTCAGTCTTGCCTAGCGGCCCAAATGTCTCTATCCTATTTCTTGGGTTCCCTTTTCTTCCCCACCGGCCCCCTTTTAGCGTAATAAACTCAGTGAGCTCTTCAACCCTTATTCTCTATCCTGGGAATGGTCCACAGGCATATCTACCCTGAAACATTAGAAGACAAAACATTCCTTCCAAGTTTTACAGCGATCTTCAAGTTTTCCATGTGAGCGCTTTACTGGATGTCCATGGCCTTTAACTTGCCCTGTGTATGGTCTCCTTTGACCATACTGAATATACGGTCCGGATGATTCCACCGTCTTTATCACTTTGTTGCTATAGTGACACAGCATCACTTTCCACTTTATTCTGTCCTACCAGGGGTAACCCATCAGCTGGCTGCACTGCTCACTATGGGTTACCCTGTTCCTCGCTCCCCCGCCCCGCCCCAGGAGACCCTACTCCTTGAACATATGAGAAATGTCATCCATGACTGCCACTTTGAGGACCTGTTCCTTGAAGCCACTTAACCTAAATTCTCTTTGAATGACTATAAAATTGTATTGTTTTCAGCCACTAAGTCTGTGGTAACTTGTTACAGCATCAATGGAAAATTAATACATCAACTAAACAACTGTCATTTCAGAACAGCCACCTTTCTTCACTTCGTTTAATGGCTCGTTAAATATACTTGACAGGGCAGTTTGAATTTTTTACTCTTTGTTTTTATCTGGTGAGGATATGACTCTTTGTAAATTCTAAAGGACAAGGAGTATTTTTCATCACCCAGTTGTTTACACTTTTTATTGAGTGCCTTTTATGCACCTATCTCCCTCCCTCCCCGCACCCCCATCAAAGAAAAGATACACATACATTTTAATTATAGCCCTTGAAACTATTACCCTAGAAAATTCGTGCTTTTATTCTTTATTTTAAAGCTATACAACCCAAGTCTTAGAGTGGTTCAGATACTTGCTTGAGGCCATATAGTTCGTATGTGCCAGAATCAAGAGTTAAATCTCAGAACTGTAGGACTGAAGTCCCTGTTCATATCATGACACAATGTGGCTTCCCTAAGAGCCAGCAACATTTTACTCTAAGCCTCTTAGCTAGATCATGCTCATCCTTCCTTTAGTAGAGCAATCCAGGAGACGTATATATAATAGTAAAAATGCCTTATTGAGTAGGATTTGTGGGGAGAGGGTGTCGCTGATCGTGGCTGCCCATTCTTATCCTAGCCCTTTGTTTCAATGTAATCAATTTATCTCAGTAAAAAGAGAACCAAAGAGTTTCAGTAAGCAGAGTCTAATCTCTCAATCATAGCCCTTGACCATATCAAATCAGGTTGGATCCAATAACGGGGCTTCCAGCCCCACTTTATTAATATCAGAGGACCAGAGAATACCTGTGAAAAATTGCAACGTGATTAACCCCTTGAAAGGAGATTCACAATATCATTTTCTACCTATTGACTAGACATGCACTGTCTGGAAAAAATGGTTATACATATTTCTCAAAAGTATATTCCCACCCTTTGTAAGGTGACAGACAGTAACTATTCTTATTATGGTGAACATTTTATAATGTACATAATTGTCAAATCACTATCTTTTACACCTGAAACCAATATAATATATATCAACTACAATTTTAAAAAGAAAAAATAAAATAATAACTTAATTGGGGGAAAAGTATATTCCCACCTATAAGCCCATTCCCACCTATAAGCCCAGATGGACATCACATTGGTATTAATATGGATACCAATGATGAAAACCTATTCTATTAACATTCAATTTTATTGACTCCTCCCCACCTCCTGCACACCACACATATGTGTGACTCTTACCATGTGAGTGATCTTTTAACCCAGACATGGGTTAAAACTAGAAGGTCACATACAACAGAATCTTGTCACTGAGAATCTGGGAGACTGTGTTGCCTTATCACAATACATTCATTTCTCAGTTATGTGTTCTGTTTTGCTTCTGTAGTTCATCTTACACAGGCAAAAAAATTGAACTCACAATCACCAAAATTACAGGCTTTGAAATTACATGTTTCCGCTGCTATAAATAACCAACATGTCATTTCTATCAATGGGAATCTACAAATGATTGATTCTGAATGGTCACCTGCATAGAGAATTGTCAGAGTGATTTCTGCAGGATGAGAAATGAGCTGGGCAGCCCAGTTTGCCCAGGTGAGTGAGGCACAAAGGTCCTCATCCTTCACACCAGCGCCCTGGGCTGTTTCCCCTCATACCATTATGGCAACCCCCGCTCATCCAGGGAGGATACATTCCAAGACCCTCAGTGGATGCCTGAAACCACGATAGTGCCAAACCCTATTTATACTGTTTTTTTCTATACATACACATCCATGGTAAAGTTTAACTTATAAGTCAGGCACAATAAGAGTTTAACAACAATAATAATAAAATAAAACAATTATAACAATGTACTGTAATAAACATGTGAAAGTGGTCTCTCTTTCTCAAAATATCTCATTGCACTGTACTCACCCTTCCTGAGATGATAAAATGTCTGCGGATGAGCAGAAGCGAGGGGAATGATGTAGGCACTGGCATTGAGCATCAGGCTGCCATTGACCTTCTGACAGGAAGTCAGCAGGATCATGTTTGTAGACCACAGCTGACTGCAGGTAACCGAAACCACAGAAAGAGAAACTGAGGATAAGGGGAGACCGCAGTACCCAGACTACCAACCTTGACTTGGTAAAGTGATATCAAACAAGAAAGCTGGTTAAGATGCAACCACCCACGATTGGAACTAGTATCTCTGAATTAGGCCTGGGACAAGGGTAAGTGTCCCTTAGTCAGCAAATACATTTTTTCAGTAGCAAAAAGAGCAAGAGTGACACATGGTGGCCAGTATAGGTATCACAAAGGACTGAGCCACGGGGAATATTTTCCTCACCAACGTTGCTCTGGGAGTTTTGAAGGTGGGAGAGAACTAGGCTGTTCACAGAGGACATTTCAGGAAAAAAGAAATACAGTCATTAGAACAGTAACTCAGATAGTCATTAAGAGTCTGGGCAAAACAGTATAGATAAATAACAACTTTAAATAAGGCTATTATCAGCCACTGCACAGAATTTGATCACTCATTCCTACTCCCTGAACTTACCATTCTTCCAGGGCAAAGACCTCTAACCTTTGTTCAAATAAAAACCCCTCCTGTTAAGACTTCTCAGCATAACAAGTCATTTAACCACCTTATCTGTTATCACCTAAAGCCCAAAGAAAGAACCCATTCAAAGCATGTCAAGTACATACATGCATGAGCAAATGAAAACGGTACATGAAAACAGCACCCCCAGTAAGGAAGAACAGAGATTAACAACTTTAAAAACAACTTTCCAGAAGCAAAAGGAAACATGAGTTTCCAAGGGACACCAAAAAGGGCTACAGTCCATCCTTACACTCTGGGATTGAGCGCTGGGAATTGTGTTCTGCTGAGTCTGTGGGGCACACAGGCCCTGGTGATGGCTCCCAACCTTAGCTGCACATTAGATTTACCAGGATGGGGGTTAAACTCCTTTTATCCAGGTACAACCCGGACCTGTTCATCAGAATTTCTGAGGGCAGGACCCAAGCATAAGAACTGTTGAAAGGTCCCCAACTGATCCTAAGGGGCACCCATGGTTAAGAATCACTGTGCTCAAATGGTGTTCTCAAACATATGGTCTCAAAATCTCTTCATGTTCTTAAAAATTATTAAGGACTCCCAAGAGCTTTTGTTTATATGGGTTCTATTTCTTAATATTTACTATATTAGAAATTAAAACAGAAAATTTTTTAACATTAACTCACTTAAAAAGAACAATAAACTCATTACATGTTAGCACAACATATTTTTATGAAAATACATATTTTCCCAAACCAAAATAGTGATGAGTGACATTGTTTTACAGTTTTGCAAATCTAGGCAATGTCTGACTTAATTGGAGACATCTAATGATGCTCATGTCTGCTTCTGCCCTCACTGTTTCAATATGCTACTTTGATTTAAATAAATGATTAGATGAAGAAAACCTGGCCCCCACAGATGCACAGTTGGAAAGAAAATCAGATTTTAATTACCTTTCCAGACAACTGTAGATACTCTTCTTTGATGCCATATTAAAATTCAATGTGGTAGTTTCCCGAAGGATAGCTGCAATGTGGAATGTGAACCCATATATATTGAACTTTTTGTGCTTAGTTACGTTAAAATCTTCAGTGACTCTTGCCATTTGAGTGATCTTTTAACCCAGACATGAGTTAGTAAAATTATGCTTCATTCATTTGGACAACATTGATTCACTAATTACACAGATTTATTAAATATTGATGCATTTCACTATACACTATCTTTAAAAAATCACACTTATTTAAATCACTTCTGATCCCATTGGAAAAGCCTTCACGAATTGGGCAGCTGTCCAATTCAGAGTGAGGAACTCCTGTTTCCTAAAGTTCTGAATTTCACTGAAGTTTCCAGTTTCCAAATTGTCAGCAAATGTTGCCAGTGGTTTTTCCTTAACAATATAAACTCACTGCAATCATTTTCATAAAAATACCTGTCAAATACCAAGTCTAAATAACCATTAGTCTGTCAGTGTTCAAGAGCAAATGGTGCTCCATGGAAAAAAGGCTAGTTCAGCTGGCAATGGAAACAGTCATACAAGGGCTTTTTCCTTCGGACAGACACCCTAGGTCAGTAGAGAATAGAAATACTGTAGGAGGACTAACCATTTTGTCATGCACATTTTTGTTAAAAAGTGTGTACTTGAAATTTAATAACAAAAACATACCGCTGTGTCAGACACTCATAAATGAAGCTGGCATGCTTTTAAACGTGATACACAACACTGAAGGAAACCACGGTGCCCGCACAGTTCTTTAATGCCATAGTGTGAATGCTGGCGCAGTGGAAAAGGCAAATAACATATTGTTATTGTGAAAGTGATTTTGACCTCCCAGGCAGCTCTATAAAAGCCCCAAGGACTTTGAGAACCTCTGTATTAGATAGAAATGTAGAAAAACCCAAGGAGCATCCAGCTACCATCCAGTTTCCTTAAACCAGGGGGAAAGAAGGGGAATGAGAAGGAAGCTGTTTTTCCTGGAAATTTTAAGTCCATGCTAAAGTTTGTTGAAGTAATGTTGAGGAAAATGGTAAGAAATTCTGTGTGGTTAAAGTTACCGTCCATCCTGAAATTCTAGCAGGAAAATGTCAGCCTTCCTAAAGATGCTAGAATAGCCCCTATTCTTTATCATTTTAGGGCAGGCAGTCACTCAGAATGGTTTCTTAGGCTTCTGAGATCTGTGTACAACTCAGTGCACTGTCATTGCACACGCAGATCATCAATTAGGCAATACTTAAAACAGAATGGAAAATTCACTGTACTGAAATAATAAAAATAAGGAATAGTAGTTAAAAATTAACAAAAGCAACAATAAAGTTTCAAATCATAGAATATATATCACAGAACATGGAAGACAATATAAAATTCATCAGGAAAAAATGGAAAATAAGATTTGTACAATTTTTATGATTGTTTTTAATCAACTGTAAAAAAACAGAAGACACTATTAACCTGGCTTGATAAAAGTTTGTGAAAAGGTCCAGGTGAGTTATTGATCACCAGCTTAATTTTTTAAATTCCTACTATAAAAGCTGATGTTTGAGGTTGCTGATGTTTATGCTTTAGGATAGAAGTATAGTATCAAGGGGCAGAGAGGTGAATTTCACAATGCAGGATGTATCAGGCAGATTACAAGTGAGCTGCAGGCAAACCATGATGTGCCTTGCAGTTTTAGGGTTTGCTTTTATAATTGGATACAATGCAGTGATTTGTCAGAAGGATAGATTGTCCAGACTGGTTGACAGTTTATTTAACCTGAGCTAGTATAGTTGAGTATTTTAGCATGGAAATGCTCCTCCCTCTTAAAATAGAAAAAAAAAGTGAACATGGTAGGAAATACTAGCTCCTGTGGGAAAACCATTACTCTCAGGATATTTAGAAACTAAAGAATAAGAGTTTAAGACATTGGGACAAACTAAAATTGCAGAATATGATGAATGGAACAGCACAGAAAGGTCCATGCACCTAGGGGATCTAGTCCTCTTGTTTCCAAGTCACACTGAGCAGGTGATATGTGAGGGGAGAACATGATTCTAGACCAGGAGGTGAGCTTGTGTCACACAGGACCTAAGTGATCCCTTACTGGCAGCGGGACAATGTTTCTCATTCGGCACAGAATAAAAAGCACAGAGGTATGAGTCCAGGGACTTTGATTCAAGTTCCAGACATACCTCATATTCACTGTTTGAAAGTAGAACAAACCATTTCATTTCTCTGGGCCTCAACTTCATTTACAAAATGATCAGGTGTTGAGGACGGATCAGTGTTCCTCCAGCTGGTGTAAGTGTGCCCCTTAGGGTTCTCCACAAACTCTCCATGTCGTGGGTGGGTGTGGACAGATTCTGGGAAATTAATATCAGAGGTCTCAACTTTATATGAATGCTTTCCTAAAACCCATCTGCTTGTCTTCCCACCCCATCCCCCAAACTTTCAGAACAGCTCTCTTTCTGTTCTATACAAAAAATGTTTGCCCCTCAGGAATTTTGGATTCTTAGCGCCTTCTCTGAGGAACACATCCCTGGGGCACCAAACCAAGGGACAAATCAGTTGCAGTCAGGGCTCTCTATTCATTTCAGTGAGATCTGCTTCCAATAAAATATTACTTTGGGGGTTTACTAATGATAATATGTATTATTTATATTGTTTTGATTAAGTGCATATTAAAAATAATTGGAATAACAATTCATTCAAGCAAAAAGTGGTAATTCTTAGAACCTTATGGTGATGGCAGATGTTTTGAAAAATTAAACATGCAAACACACACATACATATAGTTGCAGAAATATATGAGAGGGTGAGTAATATCAATAAAAGGCTTTCAAAAATAACATTATTAGCATAAAACTCTTATGGGAATTGAAATAGAATGCACTTTCAAGGAGAAACACAGATAAAGCAAAATGTCTTGTTAGTTTTATCATGTGTAATTTAAAGGATGGTGCCGGCTATCAAATGTTTGTTCTATTTCTACTCTATTGGATATATGAAAAGACTTTTATTTTATTTTATTTATTTATTTTTTTTGAGAGGGCATCTCTTATATTTATTGATCAAATGGTTGTTAACAACAATAAAATTCAGTATAGGGGGGTCAATGCTCAATGTACAATCATTAATCCATCTCAAGCCTAATTCTCGTCAGTCTCCAATCTTCTGAAGCATAACAAACAAGTTCTTACATGGTGAACGAATTCTTACATAGTGA